TATTTGAGCAGGCCAGCCTATTGAGCAGGCCACTGCAGGTCCAGCCTTATCGAGCGTTGCGGCCTCGATGGTTCACTGGTAGTGGAACAGGAACTGAGCCCGCGCCAAGACCCCGCATTTGACTCCCGAACGCGGACCACTCTCTACTATTTATATCACCTCTGCCTTGAAGGTTACGGTATACCGAGCGATAACAACCTGAACTCGTTATGTTGCCGGATATCAATTATGAGTATAAGAATGATGTTCATTTCGAGGAGCACGAACTGGAAGACAGCGGGCACGATCGCTGGAGGCGGACGGTTGTTGCCAGCGTCATTGGTGGAAGGGCTGAGACATTGCATTCGACCACACCCCACTTTCTCCTTCCACCAATGACGCTGGTCACAACAGCCAACCCCCTCCCCCCACAGCCATCGTGCCACTGCGTTTGAGCGATGGATTCATGTGTGGAAGCAACCCGCAACTTGCTTTACAGCGAAAATTTGTCCCGCTGCAATCAATACCCATGCTTTGTTCGTACCTGAGTTCCTTTTGTTTTCTTCTCCTTTTTGGTCAGCTTTCTAGCTCCTCCTTCCTCTGATTTCCGCCTTTTCTTCTTACCATCATCCGCCGTCTTCAACTTTGCAGCCTCCTCTGTTGACTGCTTCGCCACTGGCTCGTCTTTCAACTGAGTATCTTCTGAGACTAAAGGTGTTGGTTGTTCCTTCTGTTCGTCCATACTTAGAGCAGTATTTGCTTCGGGCTCTCTACATGTGCTCAACGACTTCGCCGTCTTTGGTGAAGGTTTTCCTTTTGCCAGGGTTTTCCTTGCATATGATGAGCTCTCAAAATAGCACCTTTCCCAAATGAAATCTCCAGCATAGGAGAGCTGAGCAAGTTCACTACTCACCTTGCTCCTGCTTTTACAACCGAGAATTAGGTTCAGAATGACAATTGCGGCCAGAATCATGGCCACTATTTCCATCCCACGTCTGCTACGAGTGACTAGTAATAGCAAAATGAACCCTACCCCCACCCCCTTTGATATCAATCTGTTGGTTTCAAGAAAATTGAGGACTTCATTATTTACTCATTTGACGATGGCAGTGAAGCGGTCTACAAACTACTCCGTCAGGAGTGGATAGGCGGAATTGAGCCTTTCTTTCACTGTGCCCTTGGCACGTCCTGTCGAAGGGACGATCTTGGCAAAATCGACCCCCCCCGCTTGATTTTGGCTGCGACGCGATTGTAGAACACGTGGAACCGAAAAAAAATTCGGAAAAAGTCAACGACCGGAAAGTTTTCTCGCCCACGAGAAAATTTTCGTGGGGCCAGATACGATTCACCCCCTCCCCATCGAAGCAATAAAACCCACACCCACATCCGCCAGTGTGAGTCCCTCAGTTATGTGGTTAGCGCGCGTGAAATAGGGCAAGTCAGCTATCCAAAAAGGTCCTAGGGCCAATGCTATCTCTCCTGGGGGAGTAAACATGACCTCCCCTCGCTGTTCATCGCGGAATGGGCCTTACAGGAATGACCGTCCGTATAAATTCAGGGTGATTCGAGCTAGAAGAGAAAAAGAAAAAGAAAAATAAATAATAATGCCATGCTACTGGTATTACCATGATCAATCGATTAAAGTGCGTTCTGCTTCAGTTTGAATAATTATGTTTATTGCATAACCTTCTCAAAAATTGTGCGCGATCGGACGGCTTTTTGAGCCGCACCATCTCGGAACCTTTCACGAGCTTGGCTGCTTCGAAAGGAGTACTGCGGCATCTAATACTGCTCTACATCTTCCATTTTTGCCCAGCCACATCACGTTTTGGATAACAAGCGCTGACCAGACGCCGGTCGGGAGATCCGCGTAGCGGCGGTACGCTGAGTAATTTCTAGGTTTCAAATTTCGATGTCCGCTTCAATGCATTCGCACCAGGACCTGACTGGTTTAACGATGATGCGCCAGTACAACTAGTACCCTTGAGTTAACTACCTATCAAAGAAATGCTAACTAGTGGGTGCGCTTCGTTAGAGCGGAGTTCTCCCAACCCTAACTGAGCTGACTACTGCCTGCAGAGAGCGCGACCAATAAGTGGAAAATCGACAAAGTTGATCTCAAAAAGACTTTGGTTTCAGATCGAAGCGGAGCGATTGCATTGGATGAACTGGAGACAGCGATCCGGAATCTGGGCTTGGAACAGACGCGTGATGAACTAGACAAGATTATTGATGAGGTTAGCCGTGAAATCAGATTGAACTCGAAAACCTGCCTAGGTCAGAACACAATTCTCAAGGATGTCGACTGCAAGCCAAGTTGTCGGTTCTGGCTATAAAAATAAAAAAATTTTTGGCTCGTTGTCGAACTGAAGGTATTGACCTTGATTTTTTATCGAGGATAATCACTTGATAAGAGGCTGTGGATCAGCTCGCTGTTTGATATGGCGCTTTTGCATGGCACTTGTCTGGTAATCAATATCGTGTGGGCAGCTCTAGGTCAGGAGGCCCACGTTGCGGCACCGGTGCGGATTCAGCGGTGTTAGGGGACTGGGTTTAGAGCGGTGCCAACCAGTTTTTCCTCAAATATTTTCGCTTACTCACTTTAACAGTTGGTGGATTGCGGGCTGGCCTCACGCCATGCCAAGCCTCCTGATACCTCTGCATCTGCATCGAATAAAACTGTAGGTAGTGCTGCGAAGTGGTGCGAGAACTTCGCCGCTTGCGAGCAGGGCACGCCATCGTTGTGATGATTACAACGGGGGGAGGGAACATAGCTGGTCAGAGAGTAGATTGACTTCCTCTTTTCAGCCGAGCGTAGGCGGGATATTTGCCGATGTCGAAAGAGGGGATGCCTAAGATCTACACAACTACTATATTCGTTAGATAAAATTGATTTAAATCCTGACGACCTCCCCCGCTTCGACAGCAAAATTTGGGGAAAAATCAGGAACGAATTTATCGTGACAAACTGGTAAGCAGGTTACTTGAAAATAAACAAGGAAATTACCCTGTGTCACCCATTGGCATACAAAAGTGATGTTTAAAGCACTGGAGGGTGGGGTGAGTCGACAGTCGTCTTGCTGGGAAGCCCGAATAAGGGGGGGGAACCAACCACACGTCCGTATTTGGGCTGAGAAAAATTTATTTTGATAGTTGATTTTTCTCGCTTCATGGACGTTGTAAAGGGAGGGGGGTCGTATTTACGTTCTAGCGTTGTGGGAGTGAGCGGTTGACTTTGTGTGCTTTCCTGTTTTTTCGCGTAAACTAGATACTGGGCGCCCATCCCCCGCTCGCAGAGCAAATTTTAGCGTAAAAAGTGGGGGAAGTTTTCGGGAATATTTTGGAAAAAAGGGTAGTGAAGTTGGAGAAAATCTGAGAAATTTGTAAGAAGGGTGAAGATTGTTTGTCTGCGGCGGCTCCTGTTTCAAATGTGCTGCCTCCGCTTGACGGCTGCGATTGCGATTAGAGAAGAACAGTAAGGGGGTCGTACTAACCCCTAAGAAAAAGTGGGGGGGGGTCATACAGACTCGACTGAAATCCCCAACCAGTGATGTTCCCTGATGGGAGGGTGGGTCGTATTTGAGAATAAAATTAGGGGGGGGTTGTATTTTTCAGGAAATGATCACAACGCGATCGCGTGCTCTGCTTGCGAGGCCACACCTGCAACAGCGCTTTTCTGCGGCACCGCTACTTTGACCTTCTGGCCCTTCGATCTTTCCTCCAAAATGAGCAAACTCAGCAAGTCCTTTTATGTGAAATTGATTAGTCAGCGTGCAAACTCGGCAGTCCTCTTTATGTGAAAATTGATTAATCGGCGTAAGTCTCACCTTAGAACAGAACAATGACTTTCGCATGAACAGAGCCCATGAGGCACCGTAATCTTTCTGGTAACACCCAGATTCCTAATTGAAATGCATGGCACGTACTGAGGAAAAGTCAGTGCTAGCCCTGCAAACTCTGTTCTAATTTTTCCAAGGACAGGACTTTGGAAGATGGATTTCGGGCGGAACTAGGTATTTATGCGATTTTTTTTGTATTAGGCGTTGACGGCGACTAATCGATAATCTGTTGAACGGTTTTCGGTAACATCTTAAGGTGTAATCAATAGCAATCGATTGGCTTTGCAGGTAGACCAGCGAGGTAATCATCAAATCGATTTCGACGAATTTTGTGTGGTGATGAGACGATTGTATATGAAGAAACGCAGTTGGAATGAAGTCGTCAAAGAATGCTTCAGCGTTTTTGATCGGGTACGTCTACCGTCTATTCAACGAGACTGATGGGGGAAATATTTTTGTTCCTTTTCTGTAAATCTCCACTATTTAGTCTATTTAAGAACTTGATTCTTTATTTTCAGTCGGAATCTAGCGTTATCTCGAAGAAAGACTTCCAGTACATACTTCGCGAACTGGGCGATATTACTGACAATCAGATTATTGACGAGATATTTCTAGAGGTGAGATGATTGAAATCTGTATTTTTATGGTTATGTGCTCTCTAGTGATCATGCCGGTTGCTTGACGTGCTACCCATTTCTGAGGGCAAAGAGGGGCGTTCCCATGTACGCGGATAGTGGATAAGCAGACACGTAAACAGGAGAGAGGATAGTTGGCACGGGAGTCCGCAGTCGGTACACCACCTTTAGTACCTGATTCGGACTGAAGAGCATTCAGGACACAGGGGAAGGACGGAAAAATCCCAGCTCTCGCTGTCTGAACTCTTCACATGAGTTTCACTGCTTTAGTCGATAGAATAATGCACATGGAGAATTTGCCGCCCATGCGACGACGCGACAAATTACGACTGTTTGTTCGTCCTCGGTTCAGATAGAGAAGAACCAGTAATAGAAAAAACTGAGGGTAGTCTCATTTCACGCCTCCTGGTGCCACCCATCTTATTGCGGCGATATCAATTTAAATGCTGTACATCAAAATTTCATGTGGCCATTTACGCTACATATCGTGGATATGCGCGGGGCGTGGCTGCGTACTTCATTTGAAGGTAGAGGTGGCTGCGTTTTCGGAGGGATATTGCTGGTTTGGGGCAACTGTAATCAGT